GCTGTAAAACAGCAATTATGCTGAGTCAGGCTTGATATTTAGTAATCTTTTCCTGTTAAATCAATAAACCAAATCAAATAACTTGAGAAAGGAAAGTGCTAGCTGCACGAAATTAGAGCGTCATACATGTGAAAGGATGTGTAACAATATGGCTTGTTATAACATCCCTAACCAGCCTGTAAATAGATAGCTAAAAATCAATATTTTTTACAGGCTGGTTAGGGGTGTTTTAACCAAGCCATATTATTACACATCCTTTCACATGTACGACGTTCAAATTTTGTGCAGCTAGCACTTTCCTTTCTCAAGTTATGACTAAAATTAATCTAAAAAAAACACTTCCTGCCCGACTCGACCAAGCCACTCCCCGCTGCCTCCAGCCTCATAAACCACTGTCAATCCGACCAATCACATCTCTTAGACCATCTCCGCCCACATCGAAACCTCCGCCAATCATGAGCAGGGATATCTCCGCCCACATTAAGACCTCGGCCAATGACAATTTGGACCTTCTCTGCCCTCAGGACAACACRTTCTGCAGAGACYTCTACTTGAGYAGCTCTGCCAAATTATTACTTAAATATTACGTAAATACTGGAGTATGTGCTTTTTAATGCACTGCACTAGACTAGAGAACAATAGGGGGAACTTTCCATATTGGACGAATCATTTCAAATTTCTGGCATTAATAATTCACTCCTCCTCAGTCACTCCATGGTGAAAGTGTGCCTGCCCTACTGCACCTATGGTCCCTCCAGACCACCACAGTCCCACCAACAGATTTATCCATGGTTGGGTTGGGTTAGGTGTCCTGCTCACCAGATATATGCAGTTGCAATCACTTGTTTGTGTTTGTTCACATGGAAAAAAAATATGATTAAAATTGTTTGTGGCAAGACATTATTATACAAGTGCAACATTTGTTTTGGTACAATTGTTTCAAAATTGTGAACGTCACAGGTTTTTGATGTGCAACTTGTAGAAAACTATTTGCGAACTTGGAATTTAACAATCTGAAGAGGCGTAACTGCTGTTTTGTATGTGTTTATAGATTAAAAATATTATAATTACAAGTTCACTGTTACACATCACAAGTTCACTGTTACACATCACAAGTACACAGCTAGAAATTTCAAATCGTTCTACAAGTTACAAGTTCTGTTATACAAAACAAATCATTATGAAACAAAATTAACTTAATACTTGCGCCACTGAAATCTATATCTTCCTGATTAAACCCTTTTACAAGAACCGTCAGCTCATAGTCACCACTTCAAGGACAAGGCTTGTAACAGTTTTGATAGAACCACATATTAAGTGACTCACTGTGGAGCTCTAAATCTAATCTTTGGAGGAAGTTTTTCACACTAATCATTTTAGTTGCTACTTGGAATATTTGTTGCAGTTTGCTAAATTGAAAATGTTACAATAAACTAGAAAAACTTTTCTACAAAGCAGTTTAACAAAGTTTTATTTGATCCATTAATCCATTAACAGAACAAAGAGACTAAAAGTCTAAAACTTAAAAGGTATTAATGGGGACATATGCAAAATCTAAATTTAAATTTAGTTTCTCCTAGTGCTACAAACATATCTTCATACTCTTGAGTGGTTCATATTTTTCAGTTTATTCCGTTTTTTCTGTTTTCTATTGATGTTTTCTGAACTATTACGTCAAATAATCTGAGACGGAATATTAGGTCTGGACACGTTTTATGTTGCATAATGAGAGTTTTGATTTATTTACCCAGTTTTAACTATGCTAATCTGATTGAGAGCACTGATCCTTTTTGCAAGAGAGGCCTGACAACAGCCTAAATGTGGAAGGAAACCCATGCAATAACGAGGGGAACATACTAACTCCACACAGAAATACCCCAGGTCCAACCTGGGGATTGGACCCAGGACCTTCTTACTGTGAGGCAACAATGCTAACCGCTAAGCCATCATCCTGTCCAAAGTATAAATAAATGGAAGCTGGTGAACTCTTCAGGCGATTCAGCAGAAATGAATCTCTTATTGTTAATTTATTTATGACATTTGGTCTAATTTATCTCAGCCTGTGTCATTCAGAAACCTGAGTCCAGTTTATGTCCTGTAATAACATCCTGTACCAACAACAATTTCCTCGTCTTCATTCTCCTCTCATTCTGGGTCAGACTCTGGCTCCAACGTGTAAGTCTTCTGTTGTTGGCATCTTTCAATTTACTTGTTAATAAAACGTTTCTGGAAGCTAGACATCGTAACCCCCTCTGTCAAACCGGAGTGGACCGGTCTGGAAGCGGGAGGGGGGCGGGGCTTCAAGCGTCTTAAAGGAACAGCATCAAATCCAGCTGCTTTGAGACACACACCAGAAAAGTGGTGAAAGAGGGGCTGGTGATGTAAAAATAAGAAGGAATTCAGACCAAAGCATTGCAGTTCCACTTTATAAAGACCYCAAATGAATGATTTAAATGTGAAAAGGAAGGATTTAAAAGCTACTTTAAATGAGATGAGTCCATGTTAAAATCAAGAGGACTAATCAGAATCTAAACAAAACCAACAGTAGTGATGGAACATGTTTTGTAGACCTAGTGGGACAAAATTTTTTCTTTTTCTTCTCAAATTAAAGCTGCAAACATGACCGAAAAAGTAACTATAGTCTTTAGAGAAATGTAGCGGGGTAAAAGCAAAGTTTTCAAAAGAAAATACAAAGTAAAGTACAAATTCTCAAAAATTAAGTACTTAAGTACYGTACTTGAGTAAATTCATTTCGTTACTGCCCACTTCTGAGGAAAACACAGAAACCCGACACAATGATAAGCATGACTGGGATTTTGTTTGGTTTTAGGTAACTGTCGGCCAGGCTAAGGTGTCCCCTCACCCTCGGAGTGTGGACCCAGCTGAAGAGAATGACGCCGACGAYGAGGGAGAGATTTGGTACAACCCAATCCCGGAGGACGACGAACCGAGGACGTCGCACCATCCTTCCGTTCGGCTCATCGTCCCGTCTCAAACGGAGCTCCAGCGGAGGCCCAGCAGGGGAGTGGATGGGACCCTGGAGGGTTCCAGTGGGCCGGAGGGACACGTGGATAGCCTCAGCGGCGGCTCAGGAGACGCGAGTCTGGGGAATCTTGCACATTCCGCAGAGGCTCCACATCTGCACAGACAGATGCTCACATGCAAGCCTCAAGAGGAAGGGGGGCTTTCCTCGAGCAAACCAACAGGTAAGAAAAAAAAAGAAAAAAAGAAAAGGAAGGTTTATTCCTTTTTGCTTCCTGCCAATGAYTTTTCTCCATGTTTTTGTTGAACTCCTGGGGGCTGCTTCTTTTTATTTCCGTCTTTTACTCTAAGCACATTTTTGTGGTTGTGCATACCTCCAACACTGATTATAGCCAGTGCTGGTGATGTTTCCAATCAACAGACATCTTTTTAGCACTTCTGACACAAATCTAACTTATTTAATTATATAGTTTAGGATAAAACCCTGAAGGACTTCCTGTTGGGGTCTTAAATTCTAGACAAGATAATTGTATTTACAGAATCCAATAAGAGCCTAACAATCAACCACTTAACCTTAGAAAAGGAACATTACAGAAAACTATTTTTACTTTTGTTGTGATCTTTTTAATCAGCCGACAGGATTCATATCTGTCCAATCATATCCTCTCATATTAATAGCTACGTTTACATGCGCAAAATTCTTTGATCGAGTTGGACGTATTCAGATAAAATAATCCGAATGTGTTGTTTATATTGGCACAAAATAAATTATTCTGATCATGATAAGCATTTAAATGCACCAGGCTTTTATTTATAATAGAATTACTGACGTGCAGAGTTGTAAACGTTCCTCAAAAAAAACCACAGAAGAAGTAGTTCTATTCCTTTATGAACTTGAATAAATAAATAAAAACAAACAGTTAAAGAACTCTGTGTTCCCACACTTTCTAAAATCAAGGCGTTTAACAATTTTGAGCTTTCAAAGTTTCTAATAGTAATGTTGTATCTCTAACCGRCCAATGGGGACCTTCACTTATGACRTGACCCATATCATTAATAATACAGTACATAATCTGCCACTTTATCAAAAGATCGGACAAATGGACTRGATTCTACGGAGAGTCAGTGTTAATACTGTAACAGAAAAAGATGTTCCTGGAGCAAATTTCGACACGTCCGATTTCAGGAATCACACGAAAGTTCATTTGAAAGATTTGCTGGATGGTCGAGGTCTTCGACAGACATCGAAAGCGAGCTTTATTGTTAAAAATGTCTTATTACAGCTTAGCTTGCTGCATCTATTGTGTGTGTCTGCGTGTGTGTTTTTATCACTCGAGCCACCGCTTCTGCATCATTTATAGAAACCTAATGGAATTTGTGTAAGTATAATATCACCGTATGTGTGACTGGCTGCAGTAGGTCGTTGTATGAGGCTAGCATGGATGCTAGGAGTAAAGCTAACATTTGGCTAAAGTAAAAACTGTAAGGTATCGGTTTATCAACAGAAAGTGTTGGGATAGGATCCGGGTGGTCCAGCGTTGGTCTTTTACCTCAAATAAAATATTTGGAGCAGACTGTTAAATCCTTGGTTGCACTTTTTTTTCCCGGTCAAAAATTCAGCTCGTCCCATCGCACGAATACAGCTGTTAGCTTAGCGTCTTAGCTTGAGAAAAGYGAACAAAAATACTCCTTTCATTTTAGGATGACGGCTGTATATGGAGTCGCTGTTATAAGAACCATAGCGCAATGATTTGGAGTTTGATGCCGTTTTCACAAATTTATTTAAGTTTAAACACAGCTAAACCGGCGSAGCTCCATTGAAATCARTGGAGTTTGTACGTGCATCAGTGTCGAGCGGACATAGTCAGCAAGTGTCCCTGATTAGTTAAACCCAAAAAGACATTASACAGGATGAAATCAGAACTGACATTCTTGGGCAGAAAAAACATCAATTTACTAAAAGASGTGCGGTTTTTGTAAATTAGTTGTTGTCGAGGAGAGGCAGGTTTATAATCCGTAGATCTTAGAGGAACGCAGAGAAATGATCTGTAGCAGTCAGCACTTTTTATCCCACTGGTAGTGACGACAGAATGATGACAGCCAGCACACAGCTCCCTGTCTCTCAGTAAGCTTGGCTTTCTTTCTTTCTTTTTTTTTCTTTCCAACTTCCGACAWTTTTTTTGTTCTGTGATGTGGCACCATGGTAGTTTGAACCATTTGGCACATCTTGAACTGAGCCTATAATTACAACACTTTTCTGTGGCACGCAACAGACATTTCAGTTGTATGAACACAAAGCCAGCCTGAATAGTTTCTCTAATACTTGAGTTATTATGTTCACGACAACAGTTTTACAGCACACAAGGAGGCTTGAAATGAACTAAGTAATTGCTTTCCCCCCCCCAAACAAAGGATCCAGCCCCTGAGATTTAAAACCACACTGAGCGAGACATTAAACTCCTTGAAACATTTTTTTTTCTTTAAACCATCACATGATGTATCTGTGCACATACAGCATTGTTTTGAGTCTGCTGASTTAATCCCGTTGATGTGAGCATTGCCTTTTGATCGGTGGCTGATAAAACTCTTTTATCCTCAGCGACTGGTTACAAACTTCTGAGCCTCCCTGACATCACATGTGACTCAAATAAACTTGGGAGACGTTCTGCATGGGATTAGGATTAAACCGGTCCCAAATAAGTCTCAGTGTAGCGKCTCAAAAAAGACGCTAATCAAGCGGCACAGCGTGCGGCACTAATCACGCAGCACAAAGCTAATTAAATGTTATTTCATGCTGATTCTAGTTGCAYCAGATGAAGACAGACCTTTTTTAGCATGCATTACTGRYACCTTTTATGTTGCATAATAAAGCWTTAAATTATTTACCYATATTACACCAGACTAATCCTATTGAGATCACTGATCTTTTTTTGCAAGAGAGGCCTGAAGGCTGCATAAAATGCTTGCTTTTGGATTGTGGGAGTTAAATAACAAGGGGAACATACAAACAAAATGCCCCAGGTCCAACCTGGGGATTGGACCYGGGACCTTCTTGCTGTGAGGCAACAGTGCTAACCGCTAATCCATCATCCTGTCCAAAGCATAAATAAATAGAGACAAGGGGTGCACCACAAAATCAATTCACGTCAGAATCATGAGTATTTTAAAATGTCCCAAAATGGATTTAAAATTAAATAAATAAACAAATAAATAAATGTGACCATCACATTGAAATAAGGATTTAATCTACAAGTGGTACATGGAGAAATAGGCAGATACTGTATAGTGT